CAAAGCAGCCACTCAGCTGCTTGTGATAGATCCCAAGCATGGAGTTGATTGCCAGTCTCATCATGGGGAATAACTACCATTGGCTGTCCAGCCACTCAACCAGGCCCAGCCAAGTTGACACACAAACATAACCACCACAATGTCCTTCTTCAGGGACTGGTCCGTCCTGAAAATATGGGGGAAGTATAAAAGGTGAAGTTTCACTGTCCTCACTCCTAAGGAGCATTCCAGCTGTGCTTCATCCAGGGCAGATTTGTTGGTTCTTCTGGCAGTGCATGGTATATTCAATATTCTTTGCCAGCATCATAACTCAAATACATAATTTCTCCTTCAGTCTTTTTTATTCATTGTCCAGCTTTTGAATGGATTTGAGATGATTAAAAATACCATAGCTTGGGTTAGGTACACCTTTAATCTTCAAAGTGGCATCTTTGCTCTTTAACACTTTAAAGGTCTTTTGCTGCAGATTTGCCCAATGTGATGTTCCATTTGATTTCTTGACTGCTGCGTCCATGGACATTGATTGTGGATCCAAGTAAAATTATATCCTTGACAACTTTAGTCTTTTCTCCATTTATCATAATGTTGCTTATTGGTCCAATTGTTAGGATTCTGTTTTCTTTATGCTGAGATGTAATTCATAGTGAAAGTTGTAGCCTTTGATCTTCATCACTAAATACCACAAGTCCTCTTTGCCTTCCTCAGTCAAGCTTGTGTCATCTGCTTATATCACGTTGTTAATGAGTCTTCCTTCAATCCCGTTGTTGCACTCTTCTTCATATGATCCAGCTTCTTGGATTATTTGCTCGATATGCAGATTAAGTAAGTATGGCAAAAGGATACAACCCCGATGCACACCTTTCCTGACTTTAAACCATGTAGTATCCCCTTGTTCTGTTTGAACAAGTGCTTAGGTTCCTCATGAGCACAATTAAGTGACGAGAGTGCCTGTTCTTTGCAGTGTTATCCATAATTTGTTATGATCCACACAGATACCACACAGGTCAGCATCTTTCTGATAGTCTCTGTTTTCAGCCAAGATCCATCTGATACTAGCAATGATACCCCTCATTCCACATCCTTTTTGGAATCCAACATGAATTTCTGGCACTTTCCTGATGTACTGTTTGTCATACTGTGTTGCTGTGATGCTGGAAACTATGCCACTGGTATTTCATATACCAGCAGGGTCATCCATGGTGGTAGGTTTCAGTGGTGCTTCCACACTAAGAGATTAGGAAGGAGGACATGGCAGTCTAATTCTGAAAAAATTGGCCGCTGAAAACCTTATGAATAGCAGTGAAATGCAATGCTGGCACATACTGAATAATAGATATTGATTAAAGAAAGAAGAATTAAATGAAAACTCTTCTCTTTCTATCAGAGGAAAGGAAGGACTCTCACCATGTGGCTCTACCTGGCAGTTCTTGTTGGCCTATACTATCTTCTGCGCTGGTACCGAGAGAGGCAGGTGGTAAGCCACCTCCGAGACAAGTATGTCTTCATCACTGGCTGTGATTCAGGCTTTGGGAACCTGCTGGCCAGGCAGCTAGACCTGCGTGGCTTGAGGGTGCTGGCTGCGTGTCTGACGGAGCAGGGGGCCGAGCAGCTGAGGAGGCAGACATCAGACAGACTGGAGACGGTGATCCTGGACGTCACCCAGACAGAGAGCATCGCTGCAGCCACCCAGTGGGTGAAGGAGCGTGTGGGGAACAGAGGTATGAAAGAAGTGTTTTTCCACTTGCAATTTACCTAGGTAGGCATGAAGATACTTAGGTCTTTATGTATTTTTATGTGTGTGTGTGTGTGTATGTATATGTATATATATATATATATATAGGAGCTCTGGTGGCATAGTGGTTAATGAATTCAGCTGCTAACCAAAAGGTCAGCTATTGGAACCCACCAGCTGCTCTGCAGGTAAAAGATGAAGCAGTCTGTTTCTATAAAGATTTACAGCCTCAGAAACCCTATGAAGGCAGTTCTACTCTGTCTTATAGGGTCATTGTGAGTTGGAATCAACTTGATGGCAGTGGGTTTGGTTTTTGGGTTAAATACATATGGAGCCCTAGTGGCACAGTGGTTAAATGCTTAGCTGCTAACCGAAAGATCAGCAGTTTGACCCCACTAGCCATTCTGTGGGATAAAGATGTAGCAGTCTATAAAGACTGCATCCTTGGAGACCCTGAGGGGCAGTTTTACTCTGTCCTATAGGGATGGCATGGAACAACAATAACCACTCACAGACACATACACACATACATGCAGCATAGCTTAAAAGGCTGATTTTGTCATTTGAAGGAGAGTCATGATTCTTTATGATATTTCATTTCCTTAATGTTTCCATAAGGAGCTCTGGTAGCATAGTGCCTAAGGCACTTGACTGCTGACCAGAAGGCTGGTGGTTCAAACCCACCAGCCACTCCTCGGAAGGAAAGTGGGCAATCTACTTCCGTAGTGATACTGCCTCAGAAACCCAAGGAGGG